GGTTCATCCTAAACCCTAGTGCGATGCCACCGTGGGTCCCCTCGCCGGAGCGCGTGCTCCCCAATGGGTGAGCACGCCACCGTCGAGCGGTCCTGTGATGGTGTCCTCGGCCAGGGCTCGCATGCACGGCGACGAGCGCGGCTCGCCATCTCCCCATGTGCGGGTGAGGCGACGGCGGGTGCATCTTCCCGCGCGCGGCGGTGGCGACGGCGGTGAGAAACCGGGTAGGTCCTCCCCTTCTCCGTCCATCCATCTAGGGTTAGAGTTAGGGTTTTGAGTTAGGGTTTCGATCCATTTCTGCAAATTGAATCCCCTCCTTCTACTTTCTTGTTCTGATCTACTCCAAGAGCTCTACGCCTAGTTAACCTGGCTTTGATACTATTGATAGGATTTACTGGACCTCTATGTGCAGATCTAGTGGGTAAAACTTGACTTAGATAGGATGACTTGCTGATGTACCTCACCAAACCGTGTCGCGGTCGAGGCACCGGTGACATAGTAGCCACAGCGGGTCGGAGTAGAGGTAGCCATGACGCGCCCGCTAGGTCATCATAGGTAGCAGCAGTGCAGGCGCGGTGCTGTGGCGACGGTGAAGGCGATGGAGCTTCCCGTCGCTTACAGCGTCCATCTCGATCGGTCTAGGGATAGAACATCGGTGAGGGTCTGGCGGCTGCGGTGAACCTTGTAGCTTACGCCCCGGTCCCCACCTTCCTCTTTATAGTCCTGCGCGACGGGGGCCCATCAGCCAGGAGAACGGCTAGGCGCCCCCGATCAGGGCGCGGATCAAGGGTTCAATTGGTCGTTGGGCTAACTTGGTGGAGATCAACCTAACAGACGATACAAACATATGGTAATTAAATTAAATTGCTTAAACAGTTGGAAACGTAAAACCACAATCAATTTCATTTGTTTTACGTTTTCTTATAATTTATTCTATATATTTTGGGTTTGAGCTACCATTTTAGTTTTTCTAAGAAAAAGAATGTAGCTAAAATTTTTGTTTTTCTAAGAAAAGAATAAATTCTCGAAGATTGACCATAAGTAAACGATAATTACCACTTCCATTTTCATCCTACACACCGCGCCCTAATAGTCAATTTCCAAAGACTTGAGATGGGTTGCTGGAGTGCGTTCTCGATCTTGCATAGTGGTCGTCATTCTGACACAAGGAGGCTCTTTGAGGATAGCTAGAGGTGGTACTTCTAGTGCAATTGATATCTACGATATGTTGGCGAGCTGTGGGCAATATAGGCTACTAGATAGATGAGATGCATTGGCCATATCTCGAAGGACGTGAAAAGCTTAGTGGTTGCCCAATATGGTGCTTGTGTATTGGCTTGGCGGCTTTGCAACGGAGTACGGTGGCTAACCCAATGTGGCAGGGTAAGTATAGTGTAGGACATCATCGACGGTGTGAGTGGCAATGACGACACGAGTGCCATATGGCTTAGAGCTTACTGCAGCGGGTGGAAATGGTTTGGTGTGCGACATTGTCGGTAATGATAGCTCAAGCAATGACGATGCCATGTCCACATGATCGACCAGACCCCGCCTAAATTAAATCTAGCGAACAATTTTTGGATAGGCTACATTTCCTTTTCTAGCAAAAAAAAATCCCACCTTTATCCTTTTCTGGATGGAACCACGCGTGCAGCAGCCACTCTCCTCTCAAGGCACGCTTTCCCAAGCTGCTGACATCATTAAAAAAAGAAAAAGATTTATTTCAAAATGCTATAACTTCTGAACATGTATCCATAGTCTGCACCGGTGTGTTCTATGCTACGAGGCTAATAAAATTAGACCCCATTTACATGTGTTTCGAAGAATTTTTTTTTCTAGTAGCAATTTATGTGTACTAACTTATAACTTATATCTTATAACATATGACTTATGCCAAAAACTTGTAAATACAAAAATTATGAAAACACAACTTATGTACAAAAAGTTATGAAACACAACATATGTTAATAAGTTATTATAAAAATTTATGTACTTAAGTTATTCTATACAACTTGCCAACGTTGCCTAATAAAAGTTAAGATAAAAACTTGTGTTAATAAGTTCTGTTCTGCAAAAATTTTGTATTGTAAAAGTTGTGGTAATTTTGTGCATAAAAGTTATGTGTATAGCTTGGTAACTTCCAAAAAAAGAAAAGTTAAGTGTATAACTTGTTTGTATAACTTAAATATATATAACTTGATGAATGACTTAGATGTAAAGTTGGACATATAAGTTATAGTGCATAACTTAGTTGTACAAGTTAATATCATAACATAATAGCAGAAATATGAAACTATGTACCAAAAATAACTATATAGTATAACTTATAAATATGTAACAAAAAAATAAAAAATGGTGGAAAGAAAAAGAAAGAAAGAAAAAATAAACATGCGTACAGGTGCAGCCAATAGCCAATGCCATAGGACAAATCTGACCAATGGAATATATCTACATACCATGGAAAGGGGGGAAATATTTAAGAAGGAAGTGGAACCTATAAAGAAAAAAACAGCACAAAATAATTAAAGGAAAAGGAACGGAGAGATCCGTGCGGATGGACGCGTCGTTCGCTGGTGAGAAATCCAGTGAACGACCGCTCAAGTGGATTTGGGCCACACGATTCCTTTATGTTTTTGTGACTATGGTGTAGTGTGCTGACCAACATTTGGTGGTACGGTGCTTCTCGAGTGGCGGTGGATGCACAACCACTTCTGTAGAGGTGTTACAATTCAAGTAGACACCATTGTTATTTATTTATTTTCCATTGCTTGCAGTTGTTAGCTTAGCAAGCATCCCTGTTTTAGTCCTTTAAGAGCAACTCCAGCAAATACCAGACGTCTAGGACTCACCTACTTTTGGCAATTGAGTGACAAAAAACTTACTATAGTAAAGCCATTCCTCAATCCCTCAAACGTAGGAAGTCCTCGGATCACCCTCAAGTCTTTATTCCCATGACTCTCTCTCTAAGGTCCTTACTTTACGATCTCTATCCTTCCCATATAGATGGTCATTCCGGCCGCCCGGCCCAGCACGGCACGGGCCCGTGCTCGGCCCGGCCCGATGATCATGGTCCAGCACGGCTTGTCAGGTTCATCGGGCCGTGCCGTGCCAGCACACGAGCGGCACCAACGGCCCAAGCACGGCCCTAAAGGGGCTAGGCCGTGCTGGGCCGGCCCGACGGCCTGCTGGCCTGACGTGCCTGAGTCAGCCTAGGAGCGAGCTGCTACGCTGCTACCGCCGGAGCTGTTGTTGCGCCGCCGCCAGGCGATGGCCATCGAACGCGGAGGAGTTGCCGCCTCCAGGCACTGGCTGTCGAGTGTGCTGGGCAGAGTCGAAAGAAAGCGAGGAGGTAGCAGCGGGGTGCGCGTGGAGTCACGCTGCGGCGCTGCACGAGCCGAGTCGGGGTGCAACGGCTAGGTGTGGGAATTAGGAATTAGGGTTTGGTTTTTATACCTAAGTTGAAGGTGGCTGTGAAAGGCCTTAACAGGCCATCTGTAGATCGGGCTGGGCGGCACAACAGGCTGTGCCCAGGCATGGCCCTAGGATCAGGTCGCTGGCCTGGGCCCGACGGCCACCGAGCCGGGCCGTTCCTGGGCCAGGCCAAAAGAGCAGGCTGTGGGCGGGCCATCAGGCTTATGGCCAAGTTTACCTTCCCATCCCCCTTCTAACTCTACACCCGCATAGAATCACTTCATCATCCGAGCCCCCCCTCTATTGCCACTGGTTGGATCCACCTCCCCGCCGCCGGTAATTAGATCCTTACTCCACCCTGCCTCCTTGATGTTTTCTCTACCCGATTTTGTCCCTTAGGTGAAACCCTAGCTCGTGCCTCCCACCTCTGAATTTCCATGCTTGACCCGCCCCCAACCTTGACCTTTGACGCTTCGAGCTCCACGCGCCCACTACCAAGGTTGGGCCCCCAGCTCCTTCTCTCCTACCCCCACGGTTCGACCTTGAGCTCCAGCCCGCTCCTCGGCCCCAACAATACCTTAGCTTCCACCCGGCCGTAAGTCCGTATCAAATTTTGTGCAAATTTATTCAGTATGTTTGTACATGGATGTTGCTATATGAACCCATGGACGTGTCAACTAAATGTCAACTTGGAGTATGAAATGTGAATTCGAGCATGCGAGTTTATTTGTGAATTTATTTGAGACTATCTATCGATATGATGTTGACGGATGATGAAGATTTAATGTAATAGTCGTGGGATTATGAAGAGTTAATTGATTTGTATAAACTACATATTATAATTTGACTTGATGTAGTGTCAAAAAGAGAGAATACATGTATGGGTGAAAAGAGAAGATGAAGTAGGGGCCAATTTCGAGGGACTTCAACGGAGTTAATTGTTCTGTTCTGTTCAGTGTGAGCTGGTGCTGTTGCCTGATTGTTTTTAATGAGAAAAAGAAACAAGTCTCCACGTTAGTTTCGTTGAGGTGGACGATGAATTTATTCACCTTCATGAGTCATGACGCCGCCGATCATATGCTCAACCGCCCAAGGTGTAGTGCAGCACGAAACGCCCTAAGCTTAGAGCCGGAGCCAGGACGGGGCGCCGCCGGAATTCTGTTCCGATCCCGATTGCCCAGAGTGCAAAGAACACCCATGGTCGACCCGGGATCGGAATGGACTTGCCGGCCTCCCACGCCTCGTCTTATAACTACTAGGACTAGGAGTCCAGCGAGCGCGCAATCGCGCATCGTTCCTGTTACAACTACCCGGCCCGCCCGTTCATCTTCTCCGGCCGCGCGCTAGCTGTCCTCTTGCCCGCCCGCCTCCGGTGCAGAGCGAGATCAAGATGGACGGCGACGGCGATGGCAGCAGCTCCGGCGAAGTTTCCTTGACGGTCGCCGACGAGGGGCCTCGCTCGGACCCCGAGCTGACGCAGCCGAACGCGTCGTCGCCGCCGCCGCCGCCGGACCTTTCCCAGAGAATGTCATCGCTCAAATGCGGCTCTACGATCGCACCATGCTGCCTCACAGGGTGCCATTAGACATTTAGACCCAAACATGGAGGCTGCTGAAGTCTTCGTCTTCGTCTTCGGGCCTCGCGATGACGGTGACCGGGGAGACCATCCGCGGCACGGCGACGCCGACGCCGAGGCCGGAGCGTACGACGACGAAGAGTACGGCAGCTTCACCTTCGGCGCCGTCCCGGCATCCAGCGTGGCCATAGCTTGTCTGCCGGAGACGACGGTGGGCGAGGGAGAGTGGGGAGTGCGCGGTGTGCCTCGACGAGTACGAGGCAGGCGACGCGCTGAGGACCATGCCGAGCGCGCACGGCTTCCACGAGCGCTGCATCTTCCAGTGCCTCCGTGCCAGCCGCCTCTGCCCGCTCTGCCGCTTCAAGCTGCCGCCTGAGGACACGGAGACCGACAACGAGGAGGACGAAAGGGAGGCTGGCCATGACAACGACGACGGCGATGTAAGAGAATGAACAACTGTTCAAAGTGACACTGATCCCTCTGTTAATGTAGGTTCATGGCATCCATCTTCCCCTCTATCTATGACTGTAACTTATATAAAGGGGTTAAGGGAATGCTTGGTCTCTATGATTTGGCCTTTATTAGTGTTCATGAAACTTCTGTTCAGATTGATTTTGTTTGTGCAGGTGTAGGTGCACTGTATCTCTGTTCTTTTTGTTATGCATCTTAAAGTCATGTTCCCTAATAAGGAATCAAGCCAAAACTCACCGCTGCAAAATGACACAGTGACCAAACATCTAATGCTCCGGTAGTCCGCTGCATGCACAACATATCAGCGCACATCATCAGTGTGTGCAACAGGGGTGGGCGCCAATTTTCTAATGAAAAAAAAAAAGGGAACCAAGGCAACCAGAGTTGGTATATTGCTGTGTATTTATTGACCAGCTAGGGGGGTACACCGCATGTTATACTACTACAAGAAGCTTAATCAAGGTACACAGGGAGCTGTTCAGAGGAGAACACTGGTCAGAAGCACAATTACAGATGCGGGTAACCATGGGGATCATGCGAGCTCCAAGGCCCAGTGCCACTGCCATAGCGGCTCCCAACCGTAGGATAGCTGCCATCATACATGCCTTGCAAACCCATCCCAGGAGTCGACAAAGAAGCGCCATAAGCCCCACGGCTGCTGAAACCTGAAAGTAGACTATGTTATAGGACTCGCTGTGTTATTATTTTAGTAATAACCATGCAAATGGGGTGGGGGGGGACTTACTAGGTGTGTTTCTCTTTGCAATATCAGCCCTCAGCTTCTCAGCCTCCTGAGCCATAGCTACAAGATCATTCTCCATTGCCTGAACCTGTGCAGTCAGCTCTGGCTTTGCCTTCTTTTCAAACTCAAGGTTCGCCCTACAATGATACCATTAGTTAGCTGCTCTTCAATCAACTAAATACAAATACAAAAGGCAAACCAAAGGGACACTGAACTAAAAGGGCCTTGGAGGCAGCCATCAGAGTTAACACATGAACCATCATGAAAATCAACAGGCTGCATCTGTTCTAGAAGAAAGAAAGTAAAATAACATCTCAATACCTACTTACCTAGCCTGGTGCAATTCTTGACAGAGAGCATCACGTTCAGCTATCATAGCAGTCATTTTCTGGCTTTCAGATTTCTGATGTTCAAGCTCTTTCAATAGACCTTGAACCTTTGCAGCCAACTCTTGCCTCAAAGAATGTAGTTTACTTGCTTCAGATCGCAGATGCAGAGCATCTTGCCTAAGGGGTTCTAAGGCACGCAGTTCAGCTTCCAGCTTCAGATTCCTCTGAGTCAGCCCCCTCGATTCAAGCTCTTTCTCTGCCCGGAGCTTCGGAACAGCCTGACTTGAGACTTGGAGGTCTTCTTCCAAACGTGGCTTGGTTTGCCTGAGACTAACAATTTCATCTGCCAGACGCTGATTGTCTTCACAGATTCTACGCATCTCGGCACGGCGACTAGATAATTCCTCCGCCAAGCGACGCGGAGAGAGAGGCCTTGTTCGTGCAAGTGGAGGAGGTGGAGCATCACGATATCCTCGAGGGTCATCATGGTATTGGCGGGATGCACGGTGCCTTCCTGCCATTTATAGCCTAATGAAGAGTAATCAGAATCCTGCACAAGAGAGTAAGGATATGTAAAATAATGAATCGAAATATAACTCAAGAGAATATATTGTGTTCATGCTGCATGTGAGGTATAAATTCATGAGAACTGTGCAGTCACAAATACTCAAATTGAGGCCTTTCTGAAAATAACTGACACTAGATTACATGAAAACTCACTTTTCAGGACAGGTTATATCATCACAGTTCAAAGAAAAGTAAGCGAAATCAATTTCTTCAGTTAGTTGATGAGATCCATCTAACAAGACCCCCTTTTTCATGCAGGTATATTTGTATCTTAATAACATCTCAATAAGTATGAATATCACAAGTTTGCAACAACCATCTTTAGAGGAATATAAACAAGAAAATCGGCCACAAGCATAAAACATACAATTACAACGTTAGCTACTATCATCTATCCATCAACATGGATAGAAAAAAATAATATGGATATGCAGCACATAACCCTATTAACAAAATAGGGGTAAAAGTGGGTACTTTCAGTTTTTATGCTGAAAACTCAGCACAGACAATTTGCATGGGCCATTGAGTATCACTATTTTTCACTTTCATGCTGCTTCAAAAAAGAAGCGACTTCATAACACATAACCATCCAACTTCTATGTTTGCAGAAACATGCCGCACAAGGATAACTAAGCTACATCCATCACCCACATCCAAAAGACTGAGCAACCTGGAGGTTGGTCGATCTGCTGCAATAAACATTGTTCTGGCGAACCAAGCATAAGCAACCAGATTTAGAGCAATGCAACCGCAGAGCACATAATAGCATGTCTATGGTACAGAATACCGAAGCAACAACGCCATTGGAATATCATAACATTGCAAGAAAAATACTCTTTTCTTGCATCAGTTGGCAACTTTTATGGTGTATAACTCAGAGGATGCCTTATCTTTGTTATGTCTGCGTGGATACTCATATCAAGATAAAAAGGTGAGAAGAACAAGGTTGCTTGGATTACCCTGTTAAATCTTGACAAGAACAAGTGAATAACAATAGCATTGGGGAAAGGTAGGCCATGCTGCAGGCTGCAGATAAAGAGGTATCCATAAAACTATACAGACCAAAAGCTGGATTACAGCTAACTGAAAATAGAAACTGTTTGGTTGGCATAATGAAACACAAACGCAAAGGAATGAGATAAACAGCGCTAACGTAAACATGGTAAGGAATTACTTGATTAGTTTGGTTAGCCTTGGTAACGGTAACGCCTAAGCTACTACTACTAGACAGGAAACTGCAGTCGATCGGATACTTGCATCTTGTCGTTTTGTTTTCCCTTCACTCAACTCGATGACCACATGAGCGAACAAGGTGGACCACGGTGCCCAGGCTAGCAAAGATGGCGTCCAGTATCGCGGATAGCGTCGTGGTGGCAGCGTTATCGCTTTTGTGAAGTTCGGCGTGATTCGATTACAGGAGTCCATACACCCATCGCTCGAGTCTCTTGCTAAACCTCTGGGGGTGAACCAAGCCAAGGATTTCCATCCTTGACGCTCATAGCCAACAACAAATGTATCAGTTCCTCGCCCTCGAAGCTTTCTATGCAAAGTCCAGACCCTATGCCCCATGGCTCTTACATTTATTCACTTTCCAACAAAGAAGCAACCAAGGTATACTGCAATTCACAGGAACTTGTCCGATCCACACAAAATTCACACACACTTCACTGTAGGGGCGCAAGCCCCTCCAGATTTCTCAAAAAAAAAAACACAGGCGAACCCAGAAAAGGGCATGGCTGTACACATGTACGCCCGATAAAAAAAATCGAACTTGGTAGGCATAATACATGTATACACTTGAGATTCGATCAGATCCGAATAGAAATAACAAAATAGATCGAGTTAGGGTTCGGGTACTCAATTTTGCAACGCAGGAAGGGGGGAGAAGGGGCGGGGCCATACCGGGTGCGGTGGGTTCTCGTCGCCGGCACCGGCAAAGGGCGCGACGAAGCCCTGGGTCAGCTGCGCGTAAGGCGGCGGCCGTCGTCGCCCCCGGGGAGAAGACAGACAGCAGTCGGTGTGAACCCAGGAGAACAATTCTTCGGGCTCCCCTTGTTTACAGCTTGCTTCTCTCGGCGAGCGCTACTGGGCCAATTTCCGTTGCAAGAAAGCGGCCCATGAAACTGGCTCATTCTTTCTCCGTCATTTTTTCCCTTTCTTTTGCCATGATTTTTTTTCTGTTTTTATTTTGCTTTCAACTGCTTTCATTATGATAGCTTATATCACTAATAAACAAATTTACATTTTCATATCCACTAGTGAATATTTTTTCCTTTTCTATCACTATCCTAGGGTAACATTTGGTAATGGTCTTTTTAAATCTATGTTTGATTCATTTTTATAGTATTGTTATTTCATATAAAATATATTATAATATTTTTTATCCCAAATTTATAGCATTTTATGGTGATGTTGGAACAAAATTGTTCATTGTGCTCGAATAAGTTTCTCCTAAACATGGAACATTTTGGTCATGAAGCTGGCAAAATTTCTTACGAAGCTGCAACATTCTCCTAATGAAGCTAGTTTTTTTTTCATGAAGCTAGAACATGTTTTACATTTTTCTTCTTAAGTCTGAACATTTTTTTAAGAAGGCACATTATCATATTAAAGTACACTTGTATTTTATCATATATCATATCATTTTACTACATTTTAAGGTTAGGGTATCCTAGAATTTTTAGGACATATATTATGTAATAAACTAAATTACTCATGTAACCCTTCATGTTCACTATATTTGGGTTAGTAAAACTATGGTATATATACATGTGAATGTTTTCTTTTTAAGTTGGGTTAGAGGGTTAGTTCACCTAGAATCTCTTATGATTTTTAAGCTAAATTTTGAATGCTTATAGATAACTTATATTTCATGACTAGGACTCTAGGAGAGTATTTCTAAATGAAAAGGTACAAGCAGGCTCATTACGAACTAGATTAGGAGCCCAAATCCATTTGAGTGATCGTTCACCATATTTCTATTTAGCGAACGACGATCCTACAACGCCACGCGCGAATGCATACAGGCGACGATTATTTTTAAGCTGCTGCTGACGTCAGTTAAAAATATTTTATTTCTGACGTCAGTTAAAAAAAAGTGAGTTAAAAAAAAGTGAAACGTTTATTTTTAAATTGCTATAACTTTTAAACGGTGTATCCATTTTTAATTCCGTCTACACTGGTGTGTTCTACGTGACGAGGCAAACAAAATTAGACCCCACTTGCATATGTTTAAAAATATTTTATTTCTAGTACCAAATTTTGTGTAATAACTTATGACATATATATAGCTTACAGCATATAACTTATGACTTGCAACTTATGCATATAAGTTGCATTAAATAACTTATGTACATAAGTTGGATGGAATAACTTATGCACACATGTTGTATTGAATAACTTATATACACAAGTTGTATGAAATAATTTATGTACACAAATTGTGTTAAGCTGTGTTTCATAACTTTTGTATTTTTAAGTTTTGGTATATGTTATAAGTTAATCTGTTTCTTTGTGTGTTAATAACTTTGTGTTTGTAAGTTTTGGCATAAGATATAAATTAATTCGATCCTTTGTGTTTAATAACTTTTTTTTTGTAAATAAGTTGTGTTTCTAAGTTTTCACATAAGTTATATGTTATGAGTTAGTACACATGATTTTTCTAAAAAAAGTTGCTACTAGCAAAATTCTTCGAAACATATGAAAGTGGGATCTAGTTTTGTTCCCCTCGTCACGTAGAACACCGATATAGATAGAATTAAAAATAAATACACCATTCAGAAGTTATAGCATTTTAAAATAAATCGTTAGCTTTTTCGTAGTTTGTGTCCATGGTGACGTCAGGCAAAAAGAAAGTAGGCGAGTGGAATTGGCGCGCATGCATATGTCGAAAAATTGATCGCTGGGATTAAATCCAGTGATCGTTCGCAGATTAGTGTGGTCGGATTAGGAGACGATGAGACTGTGATGATCCAATAATCCAATACAATGTGCACACGGCACACGCCGTTTACGAACTGGGCTAGGAAATGCCCGGCCCAGACATGGTAACCGACAGGCTAGCAGGAGCAGGCTTTCCTTGGACGCTCGACAAGATCTGTTCGGATTCGGAATGGTAATACCGTAAGCTAGCGCAAGTACAAAAACTCAGACCCCTGTCACCGGCGCCGATGACCATGATACTAAAGAAGAAGACACTGAAAGAGAGGTGACGCTTGATGTTGGGCCAAGGGCGACCAAACGGACGACTAAACCGAATCGACGCTACGTTGGGCCGGAGGGGGCCGAGTAGGAGCTTAGCCCATGTAACGGCCGGGTGCTATGCATCCTGTAAAAAGGAGAGGGTGAGGAGGAAGCAAACTTGAGTTTTTATCTGGTAACAGAGAACCCGGCCGGTGGCCTGGGCGACGGCGGCGTTTGGCTCGTTGCCGGTGACCGAAACTATTCTAAGATACATCTCCACTACCACTATCAATCGATTGCGGTGACAAACTAGTATCGGAGCGAGCAATCCTGGCGCAGCACTCGTACTGCACCCGTAGGCAGATGTCGATGGCGACTCCGGAGGAGCAATTCAGGCAGATCCTCACTCTGCTCGGCAAGAACTTCAAGGGGATCACCGAGCTCAAGCACTTGATGGAAGAGATGAAGCTGGCGAAGACCGACTTCAAAGCATGGAAGCCAGAGGTGAATCATCGTGTTGCTGATCTCGAGCACGTGTTGAACTACTTGGGGGAGCGCATGGAGCACTACTTCGGCAACAAATCAAAGCAAGTGATGATCGAAGGTGAGCTCCATTTGCCGCACCCCGACCTCGACTCTGACCCCAAACTAGAGTCGGCGAACAAGGCGACGGGCTCCGCTCACCTGGGGCCATCCTCGTCTGAGGCGTCGTCTGGGCCAAGTGACCACCGTCATGAATCCCACCATCGGAGCGCTGGATTTGGGGTGGTGT